CAGTAAACAGAAACAGCCTTTGTCCTTGGAAGCTTCTGAGGCTCTCTCCTGAATGCTAATAGATTGTAGCCACTGCATTTGTTACTGACTGGGTACTGATGATTCTGATGCTCACTGCATGGCCCAAGGCTGGAGAGATGGGCTGGCTCAGGGCTTAAGAGCACTTACTGCTCATCCAGAGGACTTGAGTTTGATTTCAGAACCCATATCAGAAGTAAAATATAAAAATAATTTTTTTAAAAAAAAAGTGTCTTGGGGCCATGAATACCTTGTTCAACCCAGCAAATCTCAACTATGTTATAGTGTTTGGTATACAGGAGGTTTTAGTGAACATTTGTAAAATGGCAGTGTGTGACTTTAATCCCAGCACTTGGAAAACAGATGCGGGCAGACCTCTGTGAATTCAAGGGTTGCCTGATCGACAAAGCAAGTTTTCAGGCTAGCCTAGCCAGTGCTACACAGAGAGACCCTGTCTCAAAACAAAACAGATGAACGAAAGAAAGAAAGAAAGAAAGAAAGAAAGAAAGAAAGAAAGAAAGAGAAGGAAGGATTGGTTCTGTGGCTCTTACTAAACGTGTCAGAAATGTGTGCATGTGCGCTTTTCCTCCACCACCTCCTTTGATTGACCTGTTCATATAAATCTGGATCCCCAAAAGCTTGAAACAGAGAACACATGCGAAGCTTTGCTTTGTTTCATTTTGTCTGGAAGATGATCTACTTACCACCTTATTACCACCTTATATCCACTTACTTTACGATAACAATCCACAAATCCTTTAAACTTTTCTTAAAAATCTATTTTTTAATGTATGTGAGTGTTTTTTTTTTTTTTTGCCTGCATGTATGTATGTGTACCATGTGCATGCTTGGTGCCTAGAGTTCAGAAGAGGCCATTGGATCTTCTGGAACGGGAGCTACAAATGGTTGTGAGCCGCATGTGGGTGCTCGGGAACCAAACCTACACACAGGCCCTCTGCAAGAACAGCAAATACGCTAAAACACGAAGCCATCTCTCCAACTTTGTCCCCTCTCAAATCCCTTCAAAGACAATTACTTGTCTGTTTACATTCTTTTCTTTTTTCCCTTCTTTTTCTAAAAGAAGGTCTTCCTATATAGGCTTGGCTATCCTAAAACTCCCCCGGTAACCCAGATTAGTCTGCAATTCATGAGCAATCTTCCTTTTCAGCCTGCCAAATGCTAGACTTCCAAGTTTGTATCACCATAGCCTACAAGATACATCTTTTTAGTGCAATAATTTTTTGTTACAAAACAGAACTTATTATTTTTCACATGTATGTGTGTGGTTTGTGTGTACACATGCTTGCATGCATGTGGTGTGTGCATGCACATGTCCATGTGCATGTGGGCATGCATGTTAACATGTATGTGGGTGCCTGTGAGTGTGCATGTTTGTCATGTATGTTTGCACATGTGTGGGTGCATGCAGGTGTGCATGTTTATATGTGTGGGTACATGTAGGTATGCATTTTACATGTATGTGGGTGCGTGTGGGTATGCATGTTTAAGCCGGAGGTTGGTGTCAGGGGTCTTCTTCAGTCATCTCTACTTTATCCTTTGAGGCAGAGTTTCTCCAGTGAACCCAAGAGCCTGTCAGTACGGCTGTCGATATGCTTCTCTGCCTTCTAAAATTATTGGCAGGCCACCACACTCACCCCATTTAGATGAGTTCTGAATTGAATCCTCAATATTCAGTATTTTAACCACCAAGTCATCTCTCCAGACCCCATTTTATTCTTTATTTTAATTCCCTCTATTGGCTTCCTGGTATGGGAAGTTGCTTTGGTTTCTAGTCTAGCATATTTGTTGAATGTCATTCAGAGAAAGGCCCCAGTTAATGCTTTGCTTGACTACGATGTAGCCGAGTGTGAGCGCACATTAACGCACAGGAGCAGCAGCCCAGGCTCCCCAGCACCTTCAGCCAGAGGACTTCTGTTCAAAGAGGACCTTACCTATTCAAAATTCAAAAGAGTCCACAGCTTTTTACCTCAATCAGGAAAGTGGTTCTGAGGGAAGAAAGCTGTGGAATTTAAAGGAAAAATCATGATGTTAAAATGATGGATGAAGCAGACATGGTGCACTTACCTGCAATCCCAGGACTCAGGAGACCAAGATAGAACTGCTGCATGGCTAAGGCAGTCAGGGTCACGTACCACATTTCAGGCCAAGGCTTCCCAGGACTCTGTAACAGCGTATGATAGCATTCCATTTCTTTTTGTAGCCAAATACGGTTAGCTGTGCCGGATATACCATATCATGGATGTCCATTCATTCTGTGGTAAACATTGGGTCTTTCTGCTTTTTCCTGTGCTTGTTTTGTTTTACTTTTGAGAATAACACAGCTATGAACACTCTAACAGGCTGAGGTTCGGGAGTAGACTGTATCCTACCGCTGACCTTGATCTCACTATGGAACTAAGGGTGGCCTTGAATTCCTGGTCTTCCTCCCAAATATTGAAACTACAGATGTTGGCTACTAGGTCAAGCTCTTGGAATATATTTTTAAATTTATTTTAAGGTTTATTTTTATTATTTTTAATTATGTATATGTGTCTACGCATGGCTATGCCAGAGGTGGGAGCCTAAGGAAGCCAACAACATCAAATACTCCTAGAACTTGAGTCACAAGTGTTTGTGAGCTGCTTGATGTGGATGCAGAAATTGAACTTGAGTTTTTTTTAAAAAAAAAAATGCATATTGGGTTTTGCCAGCATGTATGTCTATGCACCATGCGCTTGTCTAGTGCCAATGGAAGCCAGAAGAGGGTGTCAGATTCCCTGAAATGGAGTTAAGAATGGTTGTGAGCTGCCATGTGGGTGCTGGGAATGGAACCCAGGTCCTCTGAAGAGCAGCCAGTGCTCTTACCTGCTGAGTCATCTCTTCACCCGTGGGTCCATTTTTAAGAATCACAAGTGAATGGGAATTTCCATAGTGTAGTGGTTGCCGTACTCACCTAACACAAGTGCTCCTTTTTTTTCTTTGTGTAGCTTTGGAGCCTCCTGGAACTTGCCCTGTAGACCAGGCTGGCCCCAAACTTACAGAGGTCTGCTGCTTCTGCCTCCCAAATGCTGGGATTAAAGGTGTGTGCCATCACTGCCTGGCCCACAAATGGTCTTAACCACTGAACCATCTCTCCAATCCTCTGGAACATTTTTGTTTGTCTTTTTCAAGACAGGGCTTCTCTGTGTGGCCCTGGCTTTCCTGAAACTAGGTCCATAGACTAGGCTAGCCTCAAACTCAAAAATCTGCCTGCCTCTGCCTCCTGAGTGCTGGGACTAAAGGTGGGTACCACCACCGCCTGGTCCTTGGAACATATTTTTTAAATAAAATGCTTAAAATGCTATATTTTTCACCAGTGGGGACTCAGGTGACATCTGCTCAGAGAATGTATAATATGTATATTTATTTTTGTTTTGCTGTTCATTTGGCAATAAGCATCAACTCTAGGACCCTGCCCATACTAAAAGTACAGTCTATCGCTTAGCCATCCCTTCAGCTGAAGATGTGGCTCCTCTGACCTGTCAGTACCCAGAATCCCACACACAGACAGACGTCTACATACATGCACGTATTCCCTTCCCACTTTTCCTAGTAAGGGTATGTCAAATTTAGAATCACTTGACGTCTGTTTCTTGGGCTCCTGTGCTTCTTTCAGGTGAGTAAGCGTGACCGTAGATATAGTGCTGTTGATAAGAGCCTTGGCCTAGCATGTGCGAGGCTCGGGGTTTGATCCCTGGGAGGGAATCAAGCATGTGTGCAGGTGCACCAGGCCTGTAATTCTGGCACTTGGACGGTAAAGACGGGAAGATCAGGAACTCAAGGGACCCTCAGCTACACAGTAGGTTTGAGGTCAGTCTGGGCTATGTGAAACCCTGTCTTAAACAGCAATAATCTTCCCGTTCCTTTTCTTGACTTTGCCTTTCCTTTACCCATCATTTCTTTATCCCAGAACTCTCTGGTAGAATAAGTACATCTCTTCTCAATTCCTGCCGACATACTACAGATCCTATCCGTTTAAGCGCTTTTTTTGCCCCCACCGCCACCCTAGTAATTACCTTTACCGCTGCAGCCTGGCCTAGCGGCTCTTTGGCCACCCGCACAGCTGTCACACCTAGGTCACATCTCTCTCTTCCCCAGAAACCCTCACACTCATTTCCTGAGTGGATCATCGTCCTTTCTCTTTCTGGATCGGTCTCTGAGAAGAGTAGCTTCCTAAGAACGACAGGATGAGAGCAGGTTTCTTAGGTCTTACGTGCTTGAGACAAGTTAGATTCTGTCCCTGTGTTTGACAGTTTGGAGAATCAGGCTTCTGTGCTGGGATTCACCTCCCTTGGGAATGCTGAAGTCGTTTGCACATTGTCTTCTTCTAATTTCAGTCCCAGCGACCAGTCGCTACTCAGGTTTTCCAGCTTCGTGTGAGAGCTGTTTCTCTCTGGAGGGGTTCAATGAGCATCTCTTTCCCGAGGTGCAGGAATATTTCCAACTAGTGTGCTGAACCATGTGTGAGCTTTCTGCCTGGAGGTTCGTGTTTCTCATTCACTGCATTCTTGATGCTCAGAGCTAATCGAGGGCTTCATAGTTAGGATCCCAAATGTCCCTCAGAGACCTGTGTATTGAGGGCTTGGTCCTCAGCCTATTGTGCTTTGGGGAAGTGGAACCTCTAGGGATAGGGCCCCATTGGACAGAAGACAGGCTGTGGGACATGCTCTTAAGAGGGTATCAGGCTGGGGCCCCTTCCTCACCCTCTTCTGCTGCCAGTCATGTCCTCTTGCTCTGTGCATTGTGTGTCACCACAGGTCCAAAGCAAGTGACGAGGGACTGAAACCAGGAGCCAAACGAGTCTCTCCTCCTTCCAGGTGAATTTTCTCAGGGCATATACTTTGTCACAGAGCCAAACACAATGGTGGCCCTGGGAGTTTTTTCTTCTCTCTTTCCATGTCGTTCAGATTCCTGCTGTTAACTGTTCAGTCCTCAAAAGCCTCATGACCCAGCTGGGCATGGTAGAGGATGCTATAACGCCAGCAGCGCGGGTGCTGAGGGAAGAGGATCATGAGTTTGAGATCAGCCTGGGCTATGCAGTAAATTCTAGGCAAGCTGGGCAACATAAGAAAACCTGTCTTTTAAAGAGAGAGAGAGAGAGAGAGACAGACAGACAGACAGACAGACAGAGGCAGAGACTCTGATCATAGACTTTGGATATAAAGCATGGATTATTGACCTAGTGGGAGTCAGAAAAGGAGTAACAATTTGACAAGCATTAGAGAACCAAGGCATTGTAACTCAGAGAACATTGTAATTAAAGAACAGAAGTAAAGGAAATATAGTCAGGGACAGTGGTGTACCCCAAATCCCAGCACTTGGAAGGCTGAGGCAACAGGATTAAGCAATCCAGGACAGCCTGAGCTAGACTCTGTTTCAAAACTACATAGGTAGATAGGTAATAGATGTAGATCTATTAATAGGGGGGGTCTCATATCAAAGAAAATATGAGCATTGATATTTCAACTAATCGCATCTGGTGCACCTGTGCATTTTTAGAATAACTGTAACATGCTAACTTACTGGTTAGGCTTAACTTCAGTTATTCTCTCCTGAAACTCGAAGTGATAATTCCATCATTTTAGATACTGCGTTTTTAGCAATGAGTCATCATCAGTGACATGTGACCCGGCAGAATGCTAAAGTGAGCAGCTCCTTCTGTGAGTCTCTTGACAGAGGTTTCAATTGGTCTTCAGCTCTCTAAGCCACTTTCTGTGTTCGGTTGGTTTTTTGTTATTGTTGTTGTTGTTGGAGACAGGGTTTTATGTAACAAAGACTGGTCTTGAATTCATTATGTAGCCAAGGATGACCTAGAAATTCTGATTCTCCTGCTTTCATCTCCCAAGTGGCTATGTGCCATCATACCCAGTTCCTGTATTTAGTTTCTTTTCTTAATAACTTCACAATTTTATTAATTTATTTCATTTATTGTTTTTGATGTGGGGTCTTCATGCCATGCTGCAACCATGTAGGTCAGAGGGCAACTTTGTGGCCATAGGTTCTTTCCTTCTACCCTTACATGCTGTTCCAGGGATGGAACTCAAGTTAGGGTGGCAGTACAGGAAGCAAGCACTGAGCCATCTCACTGGCCCTATTTATGTTTTCCGAGTCATTTTCCTTACAGATTTTAGCTAATTGGGAGAAAAGACTGAAGTGAATATTCTAAGATCTGAAAAATAAAATTGGCAGGGAGTTTTTAATCCATTTCCCTTAACTTGCTTTATTTTAATTTTTCTGTGATATTAGAGATTGAATCCAGGTTTTCACACAGGTCAGGCAATCACTTCACTACTTACATCCTTAGCCACACTTTTCATTTGTTTGAGACAGTCTCATATAGTCCACACTGTCTGCAAACTTGTCTAGTCGAGGCTGGCCTTGAACTCCTGTCTTGTCCCTACCTCTCTAGCAGTAAAATAGGCACATTTGCTCTTCTTATCTTACAGTGCTTTGAGACAGTTTCTCATTAAAGCCAGGCTGCCCTTGAACTCACTTCTGAGCCCTCTGCCTCCACTTCCCAAATGCTGGACTTGCAGTTATGCCCAGGTTACATAGTGCTGACGGACACCTAGGACTTCATTCATGCTAGGCAAGTACTCTACTGCGGAACTACAATTCCCGACCCTCTTTTTATTTCAATATTGAGTTTCACTAAGTTGTTCAGGCAGGCCTGGAACTCATTATGTAGCGCAGGCTAGCTTTAAACTCACGGCAATCCTCCTGCTTCAACTTCCTGGTTGCTGTGATTACAGGCGTGTTTCACTACACTCAGCTCTCTTTATTTTAAACTTCTTGGAACTAATTGAATCTCATTTTTGAAGATATCAGGTGAAATCAGAAAATATGACTGTAAGCATTAAGTCTTTCACTAAGTAAGGGCAAGGTACTCTATAGAGAGGTCACAGACAAAAAAAACAAACCTAAATTTATTATTTTGAAGATTCTTCTGTTTTTGAAAAAGAAAGCATAAAAATATTAAGCAAGGAATGTTAAGTGCACATCTGTAATCCCAGCATTAGGGAGGCAGAGGCAGGAAGATCAGAAATTTCACGGCTAGCCTGAGCTACATCAGCACCTATCTTAAAAAACAAAACCAGAAAGTTCAGTTCCTTTGGCTTTAAAGGAAAAAGGAAACCGCCCTGAAGAGCCGCGCTCCCCCAGTCTGGGTGCTCTTCTCTAGAGGTGATTGCTTCCTGCCCAGCGCTCAGACCCAAGAGCCAGGCCGTTCATTCTCATCTGTTACCCGTCTCTCTTTACCTTACAGGCATCTCTAGCTTATTTGCCTCAGCCTGGCTCACGAGGAGGATGGTGAACTGAACTTGACTCCAGCCAATTTTTTTCTTAATTAAGTGATAGTCTGAGGTGTTCCCTCACTTTTATGTATTGTGATTGAATCCCAATTGTGAAATTCTATGTGGGTAGAAGCTTAATATGGCTTCGGCACTTACAAGTGGGGCCCCGAAGCTAAGTGTAATGGCTCAAGTCTGTAATTCAGGAAAGAGGTGGAGGTAGGAGATTGCTACCAGTTTGGGACCAGCCTGCGCTATATACTGAGTTCCTAGCAAGCCTGAGATATAATAAGACCCTAAGATTCAGTAAGTACAAGGTTAGCCTTAGTTACATGGTGAGTTTGAGGTCAGTCTGGGCTACCCCAGACCCTGTCTCAAGAAACCAAACCAACAAACAAACAAAAAACAAAAACAAACCAGAGGATTTTGTGAGGTGATTGGGTCATTAGATGGAGCCCCATGATTAAATCATGGTGTGAGTAGAAGAGGACGAGAGCTGGGTGTGGTGGGATACATCTCTGATCCTAGCACTTCAAAGGCAGAAGGAAGAGATCTCAATGAGTTCGAGACCGGCCTGATGTACACACCAAGTTCCAAGCCACCCAGGACCACGTAGTGAGATCCTGCCCCCATCAAGAAAAACAAAGAGGGCAAGAGACCAAAAGAGGCAGGTACCCACATGTGCACCCCAGTCTCTCGGATCACAGCAGGACTGCGCTAGCCCCATGACTTTCCCTTCCCAAATTATGAGCCAAATAAACCTGCTTTCTTTATATAAATAACCCACCTTACATATTTTGTTACAATAGTAAGAAATGAACTACTGTACCAGGGTTGGTGATGTAGTGTTTCTAGAAATATATTTTTCTAAAAGGAATCAGAGTTCCTCAAAGTTTCTCTAAGGTTTTTTTGTTTTGTTTGTTTGTTTGTTTTTTACTTCCCCTACATTGGTAGAGATCAAAGGTTCAAGATGGTGTTCCAAGGCTGGATGCAAGGTCCAGCAATGTACTGGTGCCCTTCTGTGTTAGAACAGCAGGATTTCTACCTCGTGCTGTTCATAGCTAACACAGACTTGCCTTCTAGACTTCTGGAGGCTGGAAGCCCAAGGCCAGGTGTCAGCTTTCTTCACAGTCATGGACTCCGGCCTTGCAGTGTTCTCACACAGCACCAAGAATCTGTCTAGGCTCTCTAACTGCTAATGAGGGCTCCCGTGTAACAGATCATCTCCCGGAGGCCCCACCTCCTAATGTTATTCCCTGGAGAGTTAGGGCTGGGTGACAGTGTATTAGTCAGGGTTCTCTAGAGTAACAGAAACAAATCTCCTTATATAGAGAGAGGAGATTCATTAGCATAATTTACAGGCTACAATCCAGATAATCCAACAATGGCTGGCTGTGAATGGAAGACCCAATAACCAATAGATGCTCCATCCTTGAGGCTGGATGTCTCAGGGGAACTCAGTATATGCTGGAATCCTAAGGAAGGAGGCTCCAATGCAGTGCAGGAACAGACTTGATAGCAAGGGGAGGGCAAGCAGGCAGGGGGAGAAGCTTCCTTCAGAGCAAAGCTTCCTTCAGAAAGTACTGCCCAGATTGAAGGTGTCTTCCTCCCTCAAAGATCTGGATTAAAAATGGATCTACCTATTTCAAATTAGGCGAAAATCCCTCACAGGTGGATTTTGTGGGTTTTAGTTCATTCCAGATGTAATCGAGTTGACAACCAAGAACAGCCACCACAGACTACAGATAGCCTGTCAACTTGACTACATCTGGACTCAACCAAAACCCAAGCAGTTGGGCCTGCCAGTGAGGGATTTTCATGACTTGATTGATCACTTGAGGTGGGAAGATTCATCCTCTCTCTGGGCAACACTTTCTGGTGGCAGCCCACACCAAAAGACAAGGAAGAAGGAAGCTTTTGCCCTTCGCCTTTTTGCCCTCACTCTCACAGACAAGCTCATCCATCCTGCTACACAGCAAGACCCTCAAAAACCCAATAATCAAGAATGGAAGAAAATACAGAGACGATGGTCACCAACGATGAGCTTTTTTGTTGATTTGTTTTTGGCTTTTCTCACTATATGGCTCTGGATATCCTGGAACTCAGTGTGGATCAGGCCTGCCTCTGCCTCCCAAGTGCTAGGATTAAAGGCATGTCCATCACCCCCACCCAGAGCCCCACCTTTTAAGGGAGGTGTGCCCCAGCATTGTAGCTGGAGCCTTTTCAGCATGAGGGCTCACACCTTTAATCCTGGCACCAGTGAGGCACAGGCAGGCCAATCTCCTTGAGCTCAAGGGCAGTCTGGCTTACACAGTGAATTCCAGGCCAGTGAGGGCTATACCACAAGACTCTGTAAAATTAAAAATAATTTTTACTTGTTACTGAAAATTTTGAGGAGTCCCTTTTTGGGTGTTGTGACAACATGCTACAAGGAAAATTGGAGTCCCCTCTCAGGGTTCTTAGTCTCAATAAGATGATTTAGCTGGGCAGTGGTGGCACACACCTTTAATCCCAGCACTCGGGAGGCAGAGGCAGGCAGATTTCTGTAAATTCAAGGCCAGCCTGATCTACAAGAGCTAGTTCCAGGACAGGCTCTCCAAAGCTACAGAGAAACCCTGTCTCGAAAAACCAAAAAAATAATTTAGATTCAACAGAAGCCCAAGGACAAGCTTATTAGAGTTTTGGGATTTGTTTGTTTTTAAAACCCTAGAGTAGGAATACTGTAAATCTCAGCAGCTGCCTAGAAGGAAAAGGGAGAGGAAGCCTTCCCTTTTTGAAAGCAGCCACAGAGCAGGAAGGCTGGTTATATCAGAGGAGAAAGCAGGGCCAACCCATAGTGTCCAGGCTCTGGCCAGTATCTGAAAGAAGAGATAAAAGGGAAATTATAGAATCTCATCTTTCTACCCACGGCAAGACATGGATTCCGCTCTTCCGACTTCCCCTTGATGAGAGAAGTGCATCAAGTTCAGTTCAAGCCACAATTATTGACAACATGGGCTGAAATCAGGAAATGGGCATACCTTTTCATAATGAAAAGCTAGAGGCCCCATATTTAAATCTGCTCACCATCAGGAATTAGTATCCGGACTGGAGTTTTGGTTATATCCTCACGTTTAGCCCCCATGGGGGAGCGGTTATTGGGGAAGAAACGAGAAATCAGAGCTTCCGTCTAATATTCACAACCTGAGCACAAGGACATTTTCCCTGCTTCTGGCCAAGGACAATAATGGAACTATTCCCTGCCTACCCATCTTCTGCGTGTTGGGCGGGCAGGGAGCAAGTGTGCCACAACATGTAGTTGGGGAGGTCACAGGGCAACTTTATGGTTTTTGATTCTCTTCCATTTTAATGTGGCTTCCAAGGATGGGACTCAGGCTGCATGGTTTATGTAGCAAACACTACCTACTTGATTCATCCAGTTGTCCTTCTTTTTATTATTTTGAGACAGAGTATCAGTAAATTTCCCACACTAGAACTTTCCATCCTCCAGCCTCAGCCTCCCCAGGGGCTAGGATTACAGGTCTGTGCCACCAGGTCCGGCTTCAAACTTTGTTCTTGCCAGACTAGGATTACTGTTAACTTTTTTTTTTTATGATTGCGTCAAATTCTTTAGCTTTTCTGTGTCTTAATTCCCCTTCTGTAAAATGAGGATAAAAAAATAACCTAATCATCAAAGGAGTATGTTTCAAACAAGATGATTTACGGGATTAGTACTGAGAAGCTACTGGTGACTACAGTCCTTTTCTGTATAAACTGTGGGGAGAGTTCTGTTAACCCAGTTAGCTAGCAAACTATATCAGGGCTGGTGTTCTCCTTACTGGGACAAAGGCCAATCGGTTTGCAGCAGCATCGAGTATCAGGAACAGTGTGAGATCTCAAGGGTCCCCCAGATCTTTAGCTATAAAAGCAGTAAAAATTCTGGGATTATGGAGACTGTTTTGTAAATTTGGGAATCCATCGGTAAGTCCTCTAATTCTTCTTTTCATCACAGGGTTAATTAGCAGCGTTACAAACCGAATAAATGGGAAACCACATAGCCACACTTCACTGTAGGTTACACGGAGGCAGATCTTCACCAGTGCTAAGGAATGAATCTTTAGTGTTCTCCAAAATCTCTTAACTACACATTTTATGAACTGAAAACGAGAAAGAATGAAAAGCAAACAAACAAGCAGTCCCTTCTCGAGGTCAGCAGCTTCCTAATTCCTCCACCACCCTCACCCCTAGCGAGTCTCCAGGGAGGGAGGTGAAGCCGAAGTCGAACTTCATTGTTCACGGGACACTCTCCCGAAGAGCCCGTTGATCGCGCCTGCGCAACGTGTGCTCTTTGTGCACGGCTGCAGCAAGCTGCTTGTTTGTGTCTTGCAGGGCGCGGGGGAGGGGGCCGAGGGCGTGGCCTGGCAGGCGCGTTCCGACT